GGCCGGCGGTGGCCGCTCTCTGCCCGCCGGCTGCTGAGCTTGGGTGATGTCCTTTCTTCTTTCTTGTTCTCGGGCTAAATTTAAGCTCGTGGGTAGACGGGCAGCAGTGCGTGACAGGAAATGTTTATAAACGCTTAAGGTGGGGCGCGGAGGTGGGAGCACCACAGTCCTGTCAGGTTTGTCTGCTTGTCTTTGCTCGCTCCCTTTGCTAGGCCAGAGCTACTGATGGTAATTGGGTGTTGGAGCGTTTTCCTAGCTACGAGGAATGAATATTGCTTAAGGTGAGGATTTTGAATCTGGTGGCAGGTCCAGGCCTCGGTATTGTCACGGGTGGGCAAACTGACTTCTCAGGCTGGTCCGGGTTTAAATCTCAGTAAGTGAAATAGAGGCAGTTGCGGTGAGCAATGTGCAGATGTGCCATTTTAAGTAGTTAGTCCAACTGTGGCTTCTTGGTTAAGTACTTAAACTTAAAGATGAGGGTGGCATGGTATGTGTCCAGAATAACTTTCAGAAGCTCTATGACGTCTTCATTAAAACGTAGTTTCTAAATGATACCTGGGAATGTTGTGGGTAAAGGTGATTCTCTGTGCTTTAAATCTTAATTTTTTTCTAGTCACCTCTTCATCTATGAAGTGCAGTTAAGATACGTATGTGACTTACATGCATCTTCAGAAATTGTCTAAATTCATATTGAATCAATTAAGATGTTTACTGATTGATCTTATTTGACGTTATTAATGAATTATTAATGAATTAAGATGTATTTATTTTTCATTGAACAGAGTTGTGCAGTTATCTTCTTTCACTGATCATGCAATCCTCGTCCCATCTTTTGGATAAAAAGCAGTAATTCGCACAGCCCCTGAAATATGGTTCTCTTGGTCGATCAGGGGATGCAAATATGCAGACAAGGCAATCAGTAACTTTTGTAGGTTGTGTCTCGGAATGTCTGCAAAAGAAGACATTTCTTCTTCTGTAAGAGTTGGACCAAACTGAGCCAATGATGTCATTATTCCATTAAAAACTTGGTGTTTGGATAATTCAGAGTTGCTTAAAAAATGTATTTGCATGTTTACAGTATTGATTTTCAGTAAAAGCTCTAATGTGCCATAGAGGGGTGGTTACTGGGCCTGGAATTGAGCTTGGGAAACCAAAGAGACTTGGCCCTTTGGTGCATCATGTAATAATGATTTTAAAAATTGAGAATGATGCAAAGAAAAGCTGTGATTGCAAGTAAGTCGTTGTGTGTTTGGCACAAGTATGTGTTTGGCTCATTTAAGTTCTTTTAAGTTGTGTTTAAGTTTTAACTTTCCTGTTGTTGTGGAGATGCACTTTTGAGTTTTGTGGGGGCTTTTGTTTTTTGGAAAGTCTTGGGGAGATGCAAGCAGGCAGCGTGACATTCACATATCAAATAAAAGAAAAAGAGGATGCAGTTTGTAGGAGAGAGAATGAATGGGGCAGCACAGCAATACAGGAGTGGAAAATAAATTGCTTAGGGAGAAGAAGGAGATAGAGGTGTCAGTGTTGCATAAGTTTTACAGTAAGCCTGGTATTCCTAGTCGTTTTGCTGTTTTCAAGCAGACCAAGACATTGCGCTTGCTGTGTTGGAAAGAATGCATTCTGCTTATTCTCTTTATTTTGTAGAATTGTTGTTGTATGTTGTTTTATACTTCTGTTTAGTTTGCTTGCTTTACAAATTAACATTCTTGCCACTCCCTGATGCAGTGAGCTTTGATTTGAGAGGAGTTAGTTTTTATTTATATAAGAATAGGTAACATAATATGAATGCTATCTGCTATGGATAGTAGTCTAGATCCTAATTACATACAGTAGTAGAAGGGCTGAGTGATGTTAATGCAGATACTATTGATTCTTCTTCCCCTTTCCAACTTGTAAAGAGCAATTTGATGGGTTGGAAGGCTTTTGGTCCTTTCATTCCTATCTCCGTCTAGTCCTGATGTATGCTTTACAGTGAAAGGATTTGTTTCAATGAAGTTTGCAGTAATAGACCATCGATCTTTTACGTCTGTGTTACAGGGCAATGAGAGCATTTTCAGCAAGGTAACCCATGTTTCAGAATGCGTTTCTCTAGCGGCTGCAAAATTAATTTGAAAGTTGCTCGTGTACTATCAATTGACTTAAAACCATAAATGTGGTTTTTAGAGATGTCTAGGGATGCGGGGCACGCTTTTTTCTCATCTTAGAAAGTTTTAGCTGTGAATTACTTCTCTACAGGAGATTCATGTGGAGATGAAAAATTGAATCTGTGAATGATTATTGTTGTGATGTGGTGGAGTTTGACAGATTCTGGCCAATAGTTAGTTTTTTTTTTTCCTTTTTTTCCTTTTTTTTTTTTTTAAACAAACCAATGTTTCAAGGGTCTGGATCTCTCACCTTCTTATATATATCATTCCTAATGAATCTAAGGGCTGACAGAAGGCAGTTTTCTGCCTGCTGGGTTTCAGTATAATGAGTCCTACTTCAGCAGAGGATGGCCTAAATGGTAGAACTTTTCTCAGTGTAACAGTGGCAACATTTGGGGGTTTTCATTCCTTTTATTAGGAGCTCAGCTGATAGAATTAAAAGTGCAACTTTGTTTAGTTGCACTTTAAGTATGCGCTTGCCTGGTCTGCTGTGCTTTGCTGTACCTTAATAGCCCATACAAGCAAGCCCATCTGAGGGTACTTCCATTTCTAAATGTGTTAGGCTAGTTTAAACAGCTGTGCTTAGCCAAGAAATGACAGGATAAGGTTCTCTCCTTGAAACAGACTCCCTTATAGTTTATATTTTGAGCGTAGGGAACAAGCTTGAAAAATTAGTGTTCCTTTTTCATGAACGTACAATAATTTTGGAGCTGAGAGTCCACTTGTATTTCCAAACGTGTGAACAATTACTCTCGTGATTTGGACCCACTGTGTATTAACAAGTAACTTCAAAATAGATTGGCTCAAAGCATAAAACCAAGAGGCTTACCTACATCTGTTAGGGCTTAACAACGAGCTCTGAAAGCTTTCAGAAGAAAATCGTATGTTGGGGTCTACAGCAGCTCTCGATTTGGAACAAGAGGCTCGTGGTCGCAAATTTCATAATCCTGGTTTGATATAATGGTTTTCTAGCAAGCGTTTAGCTTGTATTTTAGTATATATTGATTGCATGTTATTTATGCTCAGACCAACTGGCTTTGATTGGAAATAGGGTCTTCTGTCTTTACAGCTTCTAAAATTGCTTTGGTGATACGGTCACTGTTCTGGATTCCAAGCGTAGTATGATAGAAGAATCCAGTATTTCTCTTTCTGGAGAGCACTGATGCATCTTGACTCCTGCTTAACCATAGTGTTCGGTGGACATATTAGTGAGCCTGGTTTGGTGTGACAGCTGTGTCTGTTCTACCTGTAGGGATTAAAACCAAGGCACAGACGTTACTTCCTACAGACGTTGCCTGTGTTTTGTTTATTCTTTATAGCAGACTTGACAGTTATCTCCTAA